CACACACACACACACACTTGCGTGGGGTTTCGAAGCGTTTTTTTTTTTTTTTCATTTTCATTTTATTTTTTTATTTTTTTTTCAACAATAGAAAACAACAATGCCCCCAAAACAAAAATGGGCGTGTAGGGTTTTTTGAGCCCTACACGCCCATTTTTTTTTTTTTCATGAGTTAAAAAAATAAAGAAAAATGCTGCACCAAACTTGGCTGGTCGGCGTGGCCGAACCCGGCCGATTTGGGCGACGGCCGTGGCCGCGGCCAATTTTTCGTCCTCGGCCGTGACCGGGCGTGCAACATAGCCCGGGACCACCCTCCGCCACCCCCCCCCCTCCGCGTCCCCCATTCCACGTCACCATCTCTACTGGAAATGCGAGAAACACACTGTCCCACCCTGCGATGGCGACGTCAAGGAAGACACTGCGCCGCGAACGTTTCATCACCCCCCCTCGCCCCCTTCGTTATCGCCTTTGTCGTCGTCTTTGTCTTCCGGGGGGCCTATGCCCAACCAATCGAGCTTCTTCCCTCCATGGGGGAAGACAACGTGGCATCATGTGAGAACTTCACGCCGATCGACGCCCAGTCGGGGATGTACAATGGAGGTGCTACCAATGTCATGGGGGGTTTCGTCAACTTGTCCGTGATGGCGGCCGCGGCTTGCACAATGTGCCGACGCGCGTCGAATGAGCGATGCATGGATGCGATGAGCGTGGGTTTTGCCGTGAGTTGGAAGAATACCCACGCGTTGTAATGTGAGCGATGATCGTCCCCGCTCATCCGCATGAGCCACATGGGCGCCGCGAGCATGATCCTCATCGCTTCGGCAACACTTTTCAACCGCTCATGCGACACCCGACCACCGTCGATCCCCTCCGCCGTGGAAATGGCGCTTGTGAACGCCCCCACCAGTCACTGGATGCTCGCCTCCTGATACGCTGCCAGCTCGTCGTTCTCGTGCTTGTCTTCGATGTCCGTGCCGACGAACCACAGTGGCAGCCTCATATCCATGTCCAGCGTGATGTGGAACACCATGGGGCTCACACACACACGCCAGTCCTCCCCCATCCAGATGGCGCACACGATGTCAGTGGCCTCGTGGTTCAACGCATACCTGTACGCTGCGTGATACCCCCGTTGCCTACTCGTTGACTTGAAGACCCACCCGTGGATGACCTGCAAAGCGATAGTCTGCACCTTCATTGCCCTCTCCTGCGCGGCGTTCAACTCCGATTCGTCGTTGATTTTGTGCTGCGGGATGGTTGTATGAGGCAAGACGATGCTTCGACGCAATGCTGGAGGCTGCACTCCCCTCGCCACCGCAACAAGATACACGCGTGCTTCTTGCATCAACTTCACAATGGCGTTCCCTTCCGTTTTGTTCTAGAAGTGAATGTCGTCCACCCACAGCTTCGACGACGCCTCGATTCCATCCCGCGCATTCCGCTGACGCACCCTGTTCACCAGCGCTTCGTCGTCATCCCCCTGTGCTGCGACATCGCCTGCCCTTGCCCCTTCCCCCGCCTGTGGAACCCCGCCTGCCTTCGCCCCGCCCGCCCTCGCTCCTTCGCACGTACCACTGTCGCGCGATGTTGCTGGCCGACGACTGTTCCCCCGCCTCGTCTGGATGCTGCCGCAGCGTTGACGTCGATGACGTCTTCCATCATTGTGCGCCCTCCTCCGCCTCGTCTCTCGCCGACATCATCAATCCGGAGGGCTCCACTTTCCCGCCTCGCAGACTTCCGCTTCAACGACACTTCCTCCTCTTCCTCGAAGTCGCTTTCGACCTGCGACGCCACCCACTCATCATCCTCGACATACTTCGGAAGCGGGGAGGCACCTTCGACGAGTTTCCTTTGTTTGTTGGCGACGTGGCGGCCCTTTCTCTCCCGAATAGCCACTTCAACTGTCAGTTTCCCTGCGGACTTGGCGCGTCCAGAACCGCGGGACGACATGACGCGCGACACACTGACTTCAAGGTAGACCAGCCGCCAATTGAAGATCTCTGCGTCGACGGTGAAAAGTGTCCTGCAGCAGATTGTGATGGTCGTATCCACTGCGATGACGGGTGTGGCGATGATGTCGTCACTGTCGTTGACGACACGGAAGACTTTCTGGATGATGGCCCGTACCGGCAACAAACAGGACAACGGTGACGGCGGGATAGACTGCGAAAGTGGCGATGGTCGTGTTGGCGAGGAAGAAACAGAGGTGCGCACTCCACAGTCGAACAACACGGCGATGAAGTTCACATGGCCCAAGACGGATGCAGCGGCGACGTGGCGACTTGGCAACGCGACGGGCGCGATCACGGTGACGACGGGTAAGATGGCGACGGGCGCGAGGATGGCGAGAAAGGCGAGGATGGCGAGAAAGGCGATGAAGGCGGCGAGAAAGGCGATGAAGGCGACGAACGCGAGGATGGCGAGAAAGGCAATGAAGGCGGGGAGAATGGCGAGAAAGGCGATAAAAGCGGCGGCAAAGGCGATGAAGTCGACGAACGCGAGGATGGCGAGAACGAACGTCGAGTGTCCTTTGTGGTGCGCGATGTCACAGCAATCCCGCCGGAATGCGCGGATCGTCGATGACGGCGGAGCGCGGCATGCGACTGCCTTCGTGCTGCAAAAAAGAACAAGCGGGGAGTGGAGGCAGGAGGAGGCGAAGGCGAGACAACTAGAAGGTCGACGTGTGTGCCTTGCTGAAGTTGCTACGCGCGTTTGGAGCCCGATCGTTCATTTCGCAAGGACAGTCGCATCGTCATAAACACACACTCCTGCTTCGTGGACGGCGACGAGCGAGCAGTACCCGACACTGTTAAATGACAAGTCCATCGCCCTCCCGTGGAAACGATGGTGTCGCGGGCCTCATCGTGGACAGCGATACAGAAGGCCAAAGGTCGCGGGGTAGACTGGCGCTGGCCAGTGACCCCGTCGCCCGTCTTCTCGCCACCCTTCATCCATTTCGGCGGCGAAGGACCCCCCGCCACGGAAGGCAACCCACATAACAGTCGCCATCCACATCCCCCGCCGAAAAAAAGCACGCATCACGAAAGTCCCCAAGCACGAAACTCACCTCCCCCCCCCCTCAACACTCCGCCACCACCCCAAACAACCATAGCGCGCATAACCAAAGGGGGGGGGAGGGGGAGGGGAAGGGGGGGAGCGGGTGGGGGGGATTGCTATGCTTTGGCGAGAGACATGTTAACGTCCACCAACCCCCCACCCCCTCGTACAATTCCTACCAGTTGGACCACCGATAACCGCCACCCCACCGAGGGATGGACAACGACACAAAATTACATACAAGCGAACCACACATTTCCAAATCTCCACTTGCAATGATTGGACATCCGCATTTACACGACAATTCGCAGTGAACACAACCACGACATCAATATCGACGACTGTGTGAGGGTAACGACGATACGAACAACAACATTCCGTAAATGGACGACATTGAAGTCAACACCTTTATTACACCTCTGCATTTCATTCACAGAGAGGACAACATCGTCACAGCAAAACACATGCTCGTGGGGAGAGAGAGAGAGAGAGAGAGAGAGAGAGAGAGAGAGAGAGAGAGAGAGAGAGAGAGAGAGAGAGAGAGAGAGAGAGAGAGAGAGAGAGAGAGAGAGAGAGAGASAGAGAGAGAGAGAGAGAGAGAGAGAGARAGARAGAGAGAGAGAGACCAAGACAGAGAGAAAGAGGGAGGGAGACAAGTACATACATAGAAAGGGAGAGAGAAAAAGCAAATCGAAGTCGTCATTTAAAAAAGGGAAGTGCATACTGCACTTCATTGTCGCCAATACAAATTCAGAGATGACGGAATAATCCGTCCCGACAAAAGGCAGTGGCCTAAAAGTAACCCGAAAAAGAATAATAAAAAAACAAAACACAACATACGCCAATATGAATGGTGGAGTCATCCACCCAATCGGACCACCMCCCACTTCCCTGGCCAGCACGGCCAATCAGGAACCGCCACGTCCGCGACAGGCAGGCGACGGGTACACCGACGACGGAAAGGCTCTGACTTTCGTGTCTTGCGGACAATGGAAGCGACGAGGCGCACAACAGAGGCTGCACGAGCTTTAACGCTCGCGGATGGCCTTCACTATCTCCAAAAGAGCGTGACACATCAGTTTGCTAACTTCGTCAGACGTCGCGTAGTGTTTTGTTTGAACTTCCTCCTCTGCTTCCAACGCCTCGCATTGCCGGATTTGGATTGAGCATTGTCGCTTGTTGTTGCTCTCCATCGTCGACATCACGCCCCGTGCTTCTCGATGCAATCCATCAGCGCTTCGAATGTTTGCTGCCTCGTGCTCTTCCGCTTGCCGAAACCAGCATGGCTTCCCGTCGTCTGAGAAGAACCCCTCGTCGACCCATCCTCGTCGTCGTCGTGCCCTGCAGCAGCGTCCCCATCGCCGACAAATTCAGGATCCGCAGAAGTGGCGGATGGCAGACGCACACCACCCGTAGCACCAGTGTCGGCGACGTTCTTGGAGTTTATGGTGTGGCTCTTCGCGATCGACCCCAGGATCTCATCGTAAACTGCACGATCCATGTTGAAATTGAAGCCCTTCGACAACCTCTCTTTCCCGGAGAATTGGAAGAAGTCCAGCTTCCCTGGCAAGCCTTGGAAGTGATGCACCTTCCTGAACTGCTGCATCAAATTGTCCCACTTCTTTCCACACCGTTCGGCTTCTCTGTCGACGCCCACCTTCTTCAACCACTGCTCCACATCCAACCACTTCCATTCTCGCGGCTTCATACGAGCGTATGCGGTACCCATCCCTTGCAGATGCGCGTCCTGGTCACGTTTAGCCCGGAAAGGACTATCATGTCGTCCACGGACCAGAACTGACGACCTCCTTCCGCATCACCATCAGCTTCGGCATCGCTCCCCTTCCCCGCCGCTTTTTTCCCCCAACGACCATTGCGAGCATACGCCCTCGTGTTCCCGTCACTCCCTCCATGCTGCTCTACGTCAATGGCGTTACGTGGCCTGCATCGTCCTCCCCACCTTCGTCGTCGTCGTCGTTCAACTCCTGATCGTCCGCACCCGCCGCAGGTGCGTCGCCGTCGTTTTCGCGCTCCCCCACACGCCTGTCTCTTATACACATCTAGATGTGTATAAGAGACAGTTTTTCCCCCAACGACCATTGCGAGCATACGCCCTCGTGTTCCCGTCACTCCCTCCATGCTGCTCTACGTCAATGGCGTTACGTGGCCTGCATCGTCCTCCCCACCTTCGTCGTCGTCGTCGTTCAACTCCTGATCGTCCGCACCCGCCGCAGGTGCGTCGCCGTCGTTTTCGCGCTCCCCCACACGCAGTCGCTGCACCCCCCGAGTTATGGATTCCTCCCATCGTGGATGAAGCGCCCATTCTGCCCACACCTCCCTCCCGTCGCGTGCATCACCAACACCATCGATGCCACAATTCGTCTCCCCAGATTCGCGTCCACGACGGGCTGCGGTCGAACTGGCGGACAGGGGAGACGGAGACTGCATCCATAGGGAGCGAGCTGAGGCAGGCCTCGACACAGACGGCGTCCAAAATTGCTGCCTCGGAGGGTCCCCGTTGTTCCCCGACGCCTCCTGGATCGGAGCTGGAGACTTCGATGACCGCGCAACAGCCGTCACCTGCCCGCCCTCGTCGTCGGGATGGCTGTTCACGATCATCGTTCGCAACGCGGCCGACGACCTCCCGCTGCACAACCCGAATGACAGATTCAGGCCTCCATCGCCTTCGTCGCCACTCAGCCCCTGCTGGAGGAGTTCGGTGTACGACTGGCCATAACCGCCGTCGCGGCTTCCACAGAGCTTTGTGGCCGCCCACTCCTGGGTGGACCCGCTTCCCAGCGGCACGGTACGTGACCGTCTGTCCTCCTCCTCCTCGTTGGACGTGTCCGGCAGAGGCTGCAAGTGTGGTGGTAGGTGTGCGTACCCAGACCACTCCGACGGCCTTGAACTTCTCGCCGGGCTCTGCCCAGCCCGGTGGGCCCCACCCTGATCCCCTGCAGACCTGCACATCCCCTACTGCCCCTCTATACTGACGTCCTTCTTCGAAGAACGTTTTCTGCGGCCACGTCACGAAACGACGTCGAGGATACACACGTGGAAGACAACTAAGAGGAGGAGCAGGACGACGACCAACACCAGCAGCGGCAGCCTCCGAAAGACGTCGGCCATGAAACGCACTCGGACGACGCCAACAGCTAGAAGACAACAGTGGACGTCCAGGAAACGGCGAGGGTGAGTGGCGCAAACGGCCGATCGCAGATACCGACTGAAGCAGGCTAACGTATTCCATCGCGGAAGACACTGCGTGATCGGGAGAGCGGGGGCCGGCTGAAGTATTCGAATCCGCCGACGGTTGGGCGCTTTCCCGGTACTGCCAAAGGGCAGCAACGCAAGGCAGCCCCTTTTCGACGTCGCGGACGATGGCAGACCGCCAAAGGCGACCGTTGGCGGAGTATTCCATGACGCCGACCGTTGCCAACCGGAGATGTCCGTCCACGGGCCGCCAGGAACAGCAATGGACCAGCCGCGTCGAAAATTGTCGTCGACAGAGCTGCCGTCGACGCCCCGATTCTTTCGGATGCTCGACCTCCAAGGGACCTCAGGAGGTCCCTTGGGGAACACGTCGAAATGGCTGTGGCCCGAGGAATCCCCGAGGAATCCCCGAGGAATCCCCGAGGAATCCCCAAGGAAATGTTTTCACTTTTTTTTTTCATTTTCTTCCCCAAGGATAAGTGGAACGATGATTTCCTCGGGGATTTTACGCGCCTGAGGAGTGTCGAATGAGCCCCATTGTCTTTTCGGCGCGCTGCACAAATGTGCCTCGGCAAAAAAAAAAGAGGCTTGGAAGGATGTGCTGGAAAAAAAGTACACACTTGGGGACTCGCTCGAAGTCCTCTACTCTCCACATGCACAAACGGCAAAAGATCAGGCAATGCATCTTTCCATGTTTTAGCGGCGGAGGATTTAGTCTCACTTTGCAGCTTTGGAGAGTAGTGGAGCCAGGCCTGTGTCTTTTTTTTTTTTTTTTTTTTTTTTTTTTTTTTTTTTTTTTGGGTACCTACCGGTAGCTCGAGGCTCGACAAGTTTCGGGTTACCGGTAGCCTGAGCCACGGGCCTTAACAACCTCTAGGTACTGGTGGTTTAAGCCAAACCAATTCAATTACCTGTCWAATCTGGACAGGACGGCCTTTCWGGCYTTTTTTATTGTCATTATAGTATTACGGGGAACCCCGTAGCAGCCACATCCGTCCAACGAGGGAAGATGCGGGAGCTGCACCCACCGGCAGGCGCGATACCTGCTACAGCAGGTAGGCGATACCGTATCGCCAGGGGTCAGCCGGTAGCATCAGGACCGAGCTTCTTCGATGGGCCAGTCACTGTGCCTCCCCTCCGGTCCCTTCCCCCTATGAATATCAGCAGTCTCTGCTCAATGCCACTTGGGGGGCCCAACGGCATATCTCTAGGTGGCGGGCGCCAAGCTTGCCCAGGAAGGTGCATGAGGCCAATGGGGATTGAACCCAAGACCTCCTGAATGCCACTTGGGTGCCTTACCAACTGAGCTAGGCCGCGAGGCCCGTGGTTATGTAACTTATGTTCTTTTTTTTTTTTTTTATGTAACTTATATTCTCCCCTCCTTTTCGGTCGAAAATTTTCCTCTTTTTTTTTTTTTTTTTTCTTTAAAGGGCGACGGTCTTGAGATATCATTATTGAGCTGACCGGCCCCAGGCAATTCAGAATATTTGGTTTTTACTCATCAAGTTCCATCATCTGGGTTGGAACACCGGTCTGTATTTCTACAGTTCAATGGTGTACCCACTGAGCTACGCTCGCTCTTTGCATCTCTTCTTTTGGGGAAACTCAGGGAGAGTTGATCATGTGTCGGAAGTTTTGGTCGCGCCAAGTCCCACTAGCAGCCTTGAGTGTACTCAACGCTTGAATCTGGTCGTGTTTGTGGATATGTGCACAGATGGGGTTGAGTTTCGTCAACCGCACATCTCCACAAACACGTCCAGATTCAGGAGTTGAGGACACTCAACGCTGCTAGTGGGACTTGGGCCCCAATGTTCTGCCCATGTGCTGACTTTTTCGGAAAGTTTTTCTGATGGCCTTTCGGACTTCCCACTTTTTTTTTTTTTTTTCTTTTTTTTTTCTTTTTCTTTTTAAAAAAGGGGGCCGCGTACGCGTGTGCCCTCTCTACCAGAAATACTGCCGTAGTAACACCGCAGTGGGTGTGACTTAGGCCAGGCGAGACCCAAAGTGCAATGGGAACCCTGCAACCTAGGCCATCCACCTTCCTGATCACGGATGTGCCCTGGCCAGGTAAGTATTACTTCCCGCTTTTTCTCCAAGGCAGGGATTCTAGGGGAAAAGAAAGGGAAAAGATTCAATAAAAGGAACTGAAAAAAAAAAGAAAAAAGAAAAAAAGGAATTCCAGGTAAAAAAAAGGGAAAAGATTCAATAGAACGAGACAAGGACTCCAGTCTTCAGGCCGCAGGCTTTAGAATTTTTTTCTTTTTCCCCCGAAAAAAACCTTTTTTTTTTTCTTTTTTTTTGTCAAGGCATGAACAACCACCAAAAAAATCTGCAAAAACAAATGCCGAAAAAAAAGGCATGAACGAGGATGGAATCTGTGAAGCAAATGCAGAGACACCCGCAAGGAGGGAAGACAAGGAGTGGGGTCCATAAGGGGGGGAAAAGGCACCATGAAACTTTTTCTGATTGCTAAGTTAGTTTTCAGGTGCAACATGAAGGTATTCCGAAGTATGTGTGGTTGAGGGGCACGTGCGCACATGGCAACAGGCAGGCAGGAGTAAGCTCCATCAGAGCACACACCTGCAGCCCAACGAATAAAACAGATATGATAAGCTAAGGAAGGACATCATGATGGGAAAAGTCAAGGATGACCGTCTTCACAAGAATAGAACGTACAGCTAGGCTACCAGCCGCGGGTCACCTTGTTTGCCCGGGCAGCCCGGCCGTGCAAGGGCCAAAGAGGGTCCCAGCACGGGGAAAAAAAAAAAAAAAAAAAAAAAAAAAAAAAAACTGACTCCCAAATATCTGGAAAATAACGATGTTATGCAGAAAAATAAACTGAACAACGTTTGCCTCAGGGTCACACCACAATTGGTCACCGAATTGCAAATAAAAATAAAGTTCATATATCAGTGAGGGGATTCTACAGACTGTTGAGGGTTCAGCCTCCTGATGAGTCGGTGAAACTCCGACGAAACAGTTTGTCACAGCCCCTCGTTTGTTGTCCTCTTCTCTCTCTCTGCCTACGGTTTACCGGGCAGTTCTATTTGTGACGATATCATGGCCGCCTAGTAACGGCCCCGACCACTGCCGCTTGACCTGACCGGAAAAAAACATAGCAGGAAGCTAGCAAAGTCGTAGTATATATCGTCACAAATAGAACTGCCCGGTAAACCGTAGGCAGAGAGAGAGAAGAGGACAACAAACGAGGGGCTGTGACAAACTGTTTCGTCGGAGTTTCACCAACTCATCAGGAGGCTGAATCCTCAACAGTCTGTAGAATCCCCTCACTGATTACACTGTAAATGATAATCTACCTTAACCAAAATCAAAGTAGACTATCACTCACCCACAGCAGATGGAAAACTCTACAGACTGTCGGTTCACACCCCATCATATATATCGTCACAATATATATGTATAATGTATATATAATATATATATATACAGGGTCACCAGCCCGTACGGACGGAGGTCCCCGGGCAGATCTGCGTATGTACAGGCGTTCGGGGTCCCGTACGGGGTCCGAACTTGATGGCGTTCAGGCCCCGCCAAAAATTATTTCGGGGCCTAAAAATATTTTTTTTTTCTGAATTTGTTCTTGTGAGTTCTCTATGACATGAGGTACATGCCTATAAATTTTCAAGTCATTTGGCTCAGCCAAATAAGAATTAAAAATCGCCAAAGATGGCGGTCTCAAAACGTTCTCGCCCACATTTTTTTTCACTTTTTACTTTTTGTTTTCACTTTAGTTCAGGGTCTAAACAATTTTATTATTTTTTGAAACTTTTTAAGTGGGTTTTGCATTATGTGAAGTACGCATCTCTAAATTTTCAGGTCATTTATATATGCCAAAACAAAATGAAAAATCGCCAAAGATGGCGGTGTCGAAAACGTGCTCGCGCACTCACTAAATTTAATTCTCTTTTTATTTTTATTTATTTTTATTATTAGTATTTGTTCTCCGTATTTTATTGTTATTTCGAATTGGTAAGGAATTTGGATGTGATGCTCAGGCAAATCTTTTTTAATTTATTTTTCTGCATAACGTATCTTCTTTTTTTTTTTTTTTTTTTTTTTTTTTTTGGGGGGGGGTGGGGTCCACATTCGGCCCGAACGGCCGAACGCATCCCCAAGGGGTCCCATACGTTCGGGCGTTCGGGTTCGGGCGTTCGGCCCGTCCTGAATGCCGGTTACCCTGCATATATAGGGCCGGGCAAGTGGTCCCGGGCCACTCTGGTAGCCTAGACGTAACGTTCAGCCTCGGCCCATTAGAGAAGGCGATAAGAGCGTCCTCCTCCTAGTGAGACCTTTGCTTGCGACTCCAGTCTATTGGTTGGGGAGCTTCACCTGCTTGAAACCTGCTCCAGTGCCCCACATTGTACAAATACAAAAGAAGGGCTATCTTCTTTTCAGTCTAACTGACAGCAATAATGATCATACGTTGTATTCCGATCAAGACAGCAGCCAGACCTTGGAAAGACAGAAGGCAGACACAATCCTGCCCTGAGAAAAAAAAAGAAAAAAGAAAAAGGAGACAGAGAACGAAGGCCCGACAAGGATGATACGGACGACGATATGGCAAAATCCGCAAAACCAACCAATTACGCTTCTCATCTCGTCCGTGTCGTCAATCAAAGCTATGGTGGGATGTTGGTCAGTCAGACATCATTTGATGTTATTCTCCGCAACCAACTACTGCCAGCAGCACCGGCGAATGCTCAATGCAACATATGAGTCGTTGTGACGGCCAGCACTGACGACCATACGCGCTTTCGCCACCATACGCACGAAGTTCATGAAGCAGTCTTGAGAGAGAATAGCCTTTTTCTTTGTGGCAACAGCATGTTGAGCACAAACCAGGACCAGAGGACTGGTGGAACAATGTCTGAC